TGGAGTTCATCAGAGCTTCACAGGTCTCCACTGGAGTCCTCTTCCACTCCTCCATGACGACATCACGGAGCTGATGGATGTTAGAGACCTTGCGCTCCTCCACTTTCCGTTTAGGTCTGGAGACATGCTTGACCAATCCATCACCTATACCCTCAGCTTTTTTAGCAAGGCAGTGGTCGTCTTGGAGGTGTGTTTGGGGTCGTTATCATGTTGGAATACTGCCCTGCGGCCCAGTCTCCGAAGGGAGGGGATCATGCTCTGCTTCAGTATGTCACAGTAAATGTTGGCATTCATGGTTCCCTCAATGAACTGTAGCTCCCCAGTGCCGGCAGCACTCATGCAGCCCCAGACCATGACACTCCCACCACCATGCTTGACTGTAGGCAAGACACACTTGTCTTTGTACTCCTCACCAGGTTGCCGCCTGACACCATCTGAACCAAAGAAGTTTATCTTGGTCTCATCAGACCACAGGACATGGTTCCAGTAATCCATGTCCTTAGTCTGCTTGTCTTCAGCAAACTGTTTGCGGGCTTTCTTGTGCATCATCTTTAGAAGAGGCTTCCTTCTGGGACGTCAGCCATACAGACCAATTTGATGCATTGTGCGGCGTATGGTCTGAGCACTGACAGGCTGAGCACTGACCCCCCACCCCTTCAACCTCTGCAGCAATGCTGGCAGCACTCATACGTCTATTTCCCAAACACAACCTCTGGATATGACGCTGAGCACGTGCACTCAGCTTCTTTGGTCGACCATGGCAAGGCCTGTTCTGAGTGGAACCTGTCCTGTTAAACCGCTGTATGGTCTTGGCCACCGTGCTTCAGCTCAGTTTCAGGGTCTTGGCAATCCTCTTATAGCCTACGTCATCTTTATGTAGAGCAACGATTATTTTTTTCCGATCCTCAGAGAGTTCTTTGCCATGAGGTGCCATGTTGAACTTCCAGTGACCAGTATGAGAGAGTGAGAGCGATAACACTAAATTTAACACACCTGCTCCCCATTCACACCTGAGACCTTGTAACACTAATGAGTCACATGACACCGGGGAGAGAAAATGGCTAATTGGGCCCAATTTGGACATTTTCACTTAGGGGTGTACTCACTTTTGTGGCCAGCGGTTTAGACATTAATGGCTGTGTGTTGAGTTATTTTGAGGGGACAGCAAATTTACACTGTTATACAAGCTGTACACTCACTACTTTACATTGTAGCAAAGTGTCATTTCTTCAGTGTTGTCTCATGAAAAGATATAATAAAATATTTACAAAAATGTGAGGGGTCTACTCACTTCTGTGAGATACCGTATATGTGACCCTCTCTGTGAAATCCATGATTGATTTCATCCATTAATTTCACTATGATTTTAATCTTTGACATGGCCTTACTCAGTTGATATATATATATACAAAAATGTCAACAATTCTGTGTTTTTCTGTCAATATGGGGTGCTGTGTGTACATTAATGAGGAAAAAAATTTAACTTAAATGATTTTAGCAAATGACTGCAATATAACAAAGAGTGAAAAATTTAAGGGGGTCTGAATACTTTCCGTACCCACTGTATGTATGTATATGTATATACTGTATACATATACACACACACACACACACACAATACAAAAATGAGTGTATCATCACAATAATATTTTAGCCAATGTTGATTTGTAGAATCCACATAAAAGCCCTGTTGTGATAGTATTGGCAGAAAATGTTAATTATTTTAAATAAGGCATATTTTCCCCTTTCCTCAGAAACCCTATAGAAATGTACCTACCAGCAGGAAAACAACGTTAAAAAGCCTTTATTTACCATCATTAGAAGCCTTTTTTGTTTAAAATAACCCCAAAGCTTACACCACATTGGTGTAAGTGCTACATAAGAATAGTCAGTACAGGTGCAGTACAGTACAATTGTCCTGGCATCTGAGAGCTAAGAAATGTGGATAAAATGCTCAGTATCTGCACAATTTTTTCCTTTTTTCATTAGACCTAATAAGTAGGCGCCCTCCTCATCACTGTTCTCAGGTATGAATTAACTATAGTTACTGTGACACATGCAATGAAAGCAAGCACCTACATTTTTGCTTGGAAAACAGTGTGTCTGTAAGAGTTTTAAAAACTGAAAAGTAAAAGCACATTTTTTTGGACAAAATTGGTTGCGTCATTGACCTACTCATAGCTTACGCCAGCTTTACTTAGCCTGAGCGCAATTATTTTCCCTGTGAGAAATTTTATGCAGACAGCCAGCAGTAATCAGCACATTTATGGGCTGTGCTTATTTTTGCAAAGTGGAAAGGTTAATGTTGCTCAAAACTGTGGGAAAGGAATTGACCCTAGGAAAATCAGGCTCAGAGTGGGAACATTTCTGACTCATGTACTCATGATGCACGAAAAGCATGTATATGAGTGAGAATGTGTGTGACAACCACTCAGGGCAACACACTGAATGATCTGACACTATTAAAAGATGTGCTGCGGGGTCCAGTGGAGCTGAAATCCTGAGATACGTGAGCAGGCTGACTCATATATGAGTCCACACACATATAACTTAATATATATTAAATTGATCGAAAAGAGACGATTTTGCAATGTTACAAAAGATTTCTATTTCAAATAAATGCTATTCTTTTTTTTGTGATCAACTTTTTATTGTCTTTCAGTTTTAAATATAAAATAAATGCTATTCTTTTAAACATTCTACTCATCATAGAATCTTGAAAAGATGTGTTGTAGTTTCCACCAAAATATCAAGCACAACATTGATATCAATATGATTTTTTTTTTGAGCCGCATATCACCATACTGATTTCTAAAGGATCATGTGACACTGAAGACTGGAGTAAAGATGCTGATAATTCAGATATTCCACCACAAGAAAAAAAAATTACATTTTAGAATATATTAAAATAGCAGTTATTTTAAATTTCTTTATGAAAAAGAAAATTTAGTTATTTTTAAATTGTATTTATGATCATAAAAAACTTCTTTCAAATACAAAAAAAAACAACAAAAATATTTAAGATGAAAAAGTTATTGTGAATTGTAATAATATTTTACAATATTACTATTTTTACTGTATCTTTGATCATATAAATGCAGCCTTGGTGAGCATAAGAGACTTCTTTCAAAAACATTTAAAAAAAACGTTGTCCCCCAATTATAGCCGAGTATTACACCCACACCCACCAACATGTATTTACAGCCCCATATATTTGCACCAGCATGTGGCCTCAGGACATGCACAGAGTGAAATATGAACAGTAGAAATAAAATGTGTCTATGTATAATAATGTGTATGTGCTTACTGAATGTTTTTTTTTTCAAGATGATTAATAAGAACAAGAGTCACAGTAATATATATCCCTTTTAATACTGCTAGCGTTCGCATTAGATTAGTGATGGTGCAGAAAATACTGCCCTGATCCAATGTAATTTACTCGCACTAGGGCACAAACAAACACTGTGCTCATTTGCATACATTTTCTTTGGTTAGACTGACATCTTAAAACACAACAGAAATACACAAGAAGAGACCATAATGGGTCCCATGGCTATCACTTTAAAGAGGTGTTGATTAGTACTGTCTTTGTGTAACTAAAATTACTAAATGTGAGACAAGTTACATTTACAAGCACGACCAAAGGGGAATAAAATAGCATATTATCAAACCTATTAACATCTTGCGTGAAATTTGTAGCTGAAGATGACATCATAACCATCTGGCCCCTTTTACACAGGCATCAGATATAACGCAATTCTCGTCAGAAGAAACATGTCTCTGATAAAACGTAAATAAGCAGTGAAGTCTTTGGTGTGAGACATTGTCCTTAAAGTACTCTGTAGGTTCATGCAAGCATCAAGACAATGCAGTTCATCTTCTCCATATATATTAGAGGATCTCGGTACCTAATCATATTATAATGTATGAAAATCTCTGCATATTTTTGACTTGAAGCTACAATGTGACACACAATAAAATATAACATTACAATGTTCTCAAGTAAGATCGTAGTGAAAGAACTTTGGAAACATTTTCTCATTCTGATCCCAACTTAACGCACTCAATTCAACTCTAAACCTTTACCTGTGTACCATCCGCTCACAGAAAACAAAGCAATCTTCAAAAAAAATGGCTGTGAACCAGGCTTAAACCTGGGCGCCTGTAGGCAGTTACGGACCCCAGAGCTGGAGCTCCATGCTGTCCTGTGGTTTTACACCACCTCCACGTAGTTAGCAGGGTAAAGGCCCTCTTTCCCTCCATCCATCATGCCTCTGCACCAACCCTGATCATCCTCATCCTCGATCTTCAGAAACTCCTCACCTGAACACACACAAACATAAAGCGTCAGAGGCGTTACATGTGCATCATACAGACACATAATATATGAATACACAAACATAAACAAGGGCAGCTTACCTGCTTTGAAGGACAGCTCATCCGTCTCCTGTCCAACGTAGTCATAGAGAGCTCTGACTCTCACTCCTCCAATCATTACACTGAGACGAGGAGGGAAAACAGACAGTCACTAAAATAAGCCCCTTCTTAAAGGGGTCCTATTATGCTTTTTCACTTTTTCAACTTTAGTTAGTCTGTAATGTTGCTGTTTGAGCATAAAAAAAGATCTGCAAAGTTACAAAGCTCAAAGTCCACTTCAAAAGGAGATATTTTATTTTATTTTACTTTTCAAAAACTGCAACGAACGACTCGTTTGGACTACATTCGTTTTCCGGGATTTGTGATATCACAAAGATCGACGAATGGGACGAGACCTGGTTGAGCTGCACTAGAGAAGGCAACGAGTGTTATCACTATGCCGGAGACACGCTAGCTTTCCCAAGGCAGACAGAACTTAGAGTGGTTACAATCATCCGGGTTTAAATCGCGCTCAAATTGATTTGATTTTGACGCAATATTTACACTGAAGCTCGCAGGCGGCTATGGTAAGGGGCATGACATTTCC